TATCTTTTGTTATTTTTTCTTTTGCAATAGTTTATGTTATTTTCTTTTCAGTCCATCTGTAGCAGCATCAGTTATACAAGTAAATCTGCTGATTGTTGAAAATGTATTGTTTGTGGTTCGTTTTTAAATAATTAAATGAAATACAAGTACTACTATTATCACAAGATAAGGAAGGAAAAACATGGTTGGGTCTAATAAGTTAGTGCAGTACTTCTATGTGCTTCTCTTAGATTCGATATTTCTTATAGCATCACTAGACCCTAGCAACCTATTATGTTGTCTATGAATATTTACTTTTGGGTCTGAAACTTCTCTATGGTTGGGTCTAATAAGTTAGTGCAGTACTCCTTCTATGTGCTTTTTGATTTGATATTTCTTATAGCATTACCAGACCCTAGCAACCTATTGTGTCGTCTATGAATATTTACTTTTGGGTCTGAAACTTCTCTCTAGATTGTTTTCCTTACACGAAAGGATTCTGTGGGAAGTGATCTGCAGTTTTGTATGCTACATTTACTTTGATGTACCATCTTCCTTAAGGGTGATCAATAAACTTCTTTATCTGAATTATACTCATAACACTGCAGTTTATGGAAATCACAATTATATTCAGAGAAGAATTTTGTGGCAAAAGATGACTGACTTCTCTAATTCAATCAAGGAGGCCTGGATGGTGGGAGGAGATTTTAATTCTATTGCTTCCCATTCAGACCATTTTGGCCCTTCCCTTCCCCACCTAGCTAGTATGACTGACTTTGCCAATTGTATTTCTTCTAGTGGACTGGTTGACCTTCCCTATCAAGGCACAAGATGTAACACCGCCCCCAAGTATTTGTACTTTATCAATTCATGTACTGAACCTTGATAAATGAATAAACTCATCTTTACGCGATTGTAAATTTTTATCATTCTTTTACGTGGATAGTAAAATCCACGTGGGGCCCACACCAGAGGTGGGGGCCGCCCGATATTATTGGGACCGCATATTATATTCATCTGGGTCTAGATAATATGTATATGATGGTGGATGTCCAAGTTGGGCCATATAAACCATGTGTGTTGGCCAGTTGTGCATATAAAGCCCATTTATCGGTACCGAAGGAATATCAGATAAAAAGCCATAATAAATTATGGAGACCACCAAATTAAAGATGAGGAATATACATTCATTCTTATAGCCAATAATAATTGGAAGGATGAGATATATTTCATTTTACCCGATAAAATGAAATATAGTTAAAACAGTCCGGAAAATACAACTTTCGGGATCGAGTGTACACTCGGGGACACAAAGGGATGACCTCCCACATATGTGGGGGCCACCCCACGAAATCATTTGAGACAAATGAGAGAGGGGGTCGGCTGGTGTGATGGAAGGAGGATGGAAGGGGAGGTTGAGACAAGAGTTGACTCCAAGGGACCCCTCACCTCTTACCATCATAGGAAGAGCCAAAAACACCCCAATCACTCCCTATACCCATAGGCTCGACCAAGACACTCAAAGAGGAGAGAAAAGATCTGGAAATACTCCATTTTCATCCACCATACATGCACCAAGAGCAAGGGAGGAAGAAGGAAGGAAAAGAGAAGAGAAAAGAGGAGTTTAGGTGCGAAAACTTGTGATTAATAAGGTAATGACTTCATTAATCCCATTCCTTCTCTTTAATCACATTTCACACTCCTAGGATAGTTCTACACATGTAAAAGTGTAGAATGGGGGTTGAAGGGTTGGTTTATACCCAAAACGAACCTTGAGAGCCAAGTTGACGGGTTCACCGGAAAATAACCTTTTGGAGGTTGTTTGTATTGATATGGGTTTTATGATGATAAAACCTTGTTATTAACTTGTATAAGGTATTTCAAGAACTTTCACGGGGTTGAAAGGGTCGCCGGAGTTGTCGCCGGAGTTGGTTGAAGTTCACCGGAGTTTCACCGGAGCTCAATAAGGGAGGCTAGAACTTCATAAGCTTCTTTAAGGTGAGAAGACGGCTATATGCTTTATAACTTTTGATTGAGGCATGAGATTACCTAAAGTAATCAAGTATATGTCTTATGGAATGATTAAAGTAAATCAAGTATTGGCTTATGCCACGGTTATATATAAAACATAGTTGAAAAGCATGTTTTGTATGTTTGGTGATTAAAAATGTGATAACTTATTATGTACAATTCTCCAGGGATCCAAAATGGTATTTGTGGATCAAGGACGTCAAGGAGTACATGCGTATAAAATTTCGCGTTGATCGGACTCCGTTTGGGCGGTCAAACGGGCGTTGACCGCCGAGGCAAAGGTGATACCCGACCGGGTATGGGTACATACCCGACCGGGTATTGATTAAAAATGGCTCCAGAAGCCACTGTCCTACTAGACCCGACCGGGTAAGGGTATGGACCCGACCGGGTCTCAAGTAAAATCAGTTCCAGGGGCTTCTGCCCCGACCTACCCGACCGGGTAAGGTTGGATACCCGATCGGGTATTGGACTATGCCCAAAACAGGCAGTTTTGAGCAGGTTAACGTGGGTCGTTCAAGTGGGACCCACCCACGTTGGTCACTAGGGATTATTACATGACTATAGGACTAGGTATTGTCCATAGTTAAGTGAATGAAAAGTTAGCCATATCCAGGTTAGGGTTTGGTTAGAATTAAGGTTGAGGTTGAGCATCCTCGGGACGGTAAATGATCCCAAAACTCGGTGAGGTTGAGTATCCTCAGGACGGTAAACAATCCTAAAACTCGGTGAGGTTGAGTATCCTCAGGACGGTAAACAATCCTAAAACTCGGTGAGGTTGAGTATCCTCAGGACGGTAAACAATCCTAAAACTCGGTTGAGGTTGAGTATCCTCGGGACGGTAAATGATCCCAAAACTCGGTTGGGGTTGAGTATCCCCGGGACGGTAAACCCTCCTGAAACTCGGTAGGATATTATGAAGGTAGAATGTAGCTCTCAAGCTAGGCATTCAGGAATGGAAAGGGGATAGGTTGGGAAAGTACTTTATCTCTAAAAGACTCTTTGTGATAAAACGACCTACGGGTCAAGTATTTTACAAGTATATACATTATGTATTATCTTGGGAATGGGGTAACAATGGTTACACCTATAAGCATATGTATCACCCTATTTTTGGGTCTCGTGTCTGAAACATTAGTTATTCCTCATATAGCCTGCTTGTCACTAGTACTTCTATGGAGTACTAACCCCTTCGGGGGCCCTCACATTTTTCAGGTTGAGGCTAGAGTCCTACTACCTGCACCTTCGCCAAGGGTGATTGATCAAAGAGGAAGACGTGGTTCGTGCTTCCATTCTTATTCAAAGTTTATAAACTGCTCATGGGTGTTTTTAACAATGTTTTCCATTAAAACATTTGAGGGGCCTGCGTGTCCGTATTTGCCACGTGTGGCTAAGTATCAAACATATCTTATTTTCCGCATTCGTTGACTAATATATATTGATGTTGATTGTATGGGTTTACTAATCGGTTTGGCAATAGAACTCAACGGACGCCTTGTATGATTCAATAAGAATGAACTACGTTGTTCTTATTGGGTTGTACGGCGGTTGTCTACGTGGCACGGATGCGGTCCGGGGCGTGACAATTAAGTGGTATCAGAGCCATCGATTTCTAAACTATATGATTAACCTCTCAATATAGTATCATCAAAAAGTTTTGAACAAAACCATGAGCAAAAGTTTTTGTACTTAAGGAACCGTTGGAAACCAAGTTATTGACCTCTTATTGTTAAGATGGTACCCTTAACAGTTTGTTGGCCATAATGTTGGACCAAGTGGTGTCTTTTGTACTATTCCGTCAATTGACATTGATACGAGTCTAACGACTCATTCCAAATTTCTTTCAGAAATGGAGGGTAGACACATGGCTACGAGGAACAACCCGAGAGGGCAAACTCAGGCGACGTCCGTAGGGGCCAGCCAGGTTGCATCTCGGGGTGCGAGAGGCGGTAGGAGAGGCCGTGGAGGCCGTGGAGGCCGTGGAAGCCGTGGAGGTCATCAGGCTCAAACCGTGAGCGATGGCCATGTTAGCTCGGTGCATGGGACTCACACCGAGGATTATGACTCAACATATGTTCCCGAGACGGAACATGAGGAGACCCCATATGATGGGGGTGATACGTACACTGATGATGACAATGATGAGAGTGATGCCAAATTCGCCCAGATGGGTGAATTGTTTGAGTGGTATCAAAAGGAAAAGCTGAGGAGAGATCTTAGGCGCCAAGCTAGGCGTGCCTCTCAGGGAGGTTCGGGTCAGGGAAGCCGGGGGGCTTCAGTGGCCATTCCTGTGGCGACACAGGGGGTACAGGGGGGAGGTTTCTGTGTAAGAATCTCCAAATACCTCAAGGAGGCGAGGGCCTTGGGGTGTAAGTCATTTGATGGCAAGGGTGATATATCGGTGGCTGCCGACTGGATCAAGAAATTGAATGAGGCTGCTAGGGATATGCAGATCGGGCTTGACATAAAGCTAACGATTGCTACCAGGCTACTAGAGGGGGTAGCTGCTGTATGGTGGGAAGGCGTGGAAGGAAAGTTCCACGGTGAGACCACCTGGGAGAAATTTGAAGTAGAATTCTATAATCAGTACTACTCAGAGTTCGAAAAGAACCAGAAGAGGAAGGAGTACATGACCCTGGTACAGGAGGAGGATTGCTCGGTGAGGCAACTGGAACAAAGGTTCCGGGACTTGGCACGGTACATACCCGAGTACGCCATGGATGAGAACCGTATGGCTAATCACTTCTGGGACACCCTACACTTGGATATCCGTGATCGGGCTACCTACAATCATCACATGACCTTTAGTGAGATTGTGGATCAGGGGCTACTTGGGGAAGCCAAGTGGAATGAAAGGAAGAAGAGAGACGCCGAAGAGGCGAAGAAGAGAAGATGGGGGAATTCTGGACCCCAAGACCATTCTCAGAAACATCACGCCGGGAATGGAAGATCATTCAGGGCGCCGGAACCACCGGCAAAGAAGAGTAAGGGCCCAGGAGGGCAAGGGCATAGCTCGGGGAGCGTAAGGCCACCAAGGTGTCCAAACTGTAACAGGAATCACTCCGGGAAGTGCAATGAACCACCCCGGTGCTACAAGTGTGGTAGCACAAGCCACCTCAAACCCTCTTGCCCAATGTTGAGTGGAGGTGGGCCATCGGGAGCTGTGGAGGCACCTACGTCTGGAAGGGGTCGTGCAGGACCATCTCAGGGCGGCACGGGAAGGGGCGGACCTACGGCAAGCAATGCCGCGTCCGTTAACCAAGGTAGGACCCAGGCACGAGTGTATGCAATGACCGAGGCGGATGCGCGAGCAAACCCGGACTCCGTTGCAGGTAATATACTAAAATTTTATATGTTTCTAGGCTTATACTAAAGATATAAGTCCTAAGGGTCAATTGCAAACTGACTTAGGGTCGAATCGGGGGGAATTCAACGAAACCAGGCTGATACCCGACCGGGTAAGGCAGGTCACCTGACCGGGTATACTGAGATTTTGGCCTGGTAAACCCACTGGAACGATTACCCGACCGGGTATCGAAGGTTACCCGACCGGGCAGAATGAAAATTTTTACCCGCGAGCTTCTGGAACGGATACCCGACCGGGTACAACAGGTTACCCGACCGGGTATACCAAATTTCCATACCCGCTGGCTTCTGGATTGGATACCCGACCGGGTACAAAGGTGTACCCGACCGGGTATTGCTGTATATTGTAAATTACGGACTTTTTCGGGGCCTACAGTTCAATTTAGGTAGGCAAGGTACCTTACATGACTTATAATTGTAGGAACGTTAAAGATTAATGGAAGGGATGCGAGGATCCTTATCGATACGGGAGCACAACGTTCATTCGTTAGTGAGGTGTTTGCCGTGGGGTTAAGCACACCTTTAATACCAATGATGCAAACCCTTTTGGTATCTACGCCTCTAGGGGATGACGTTGAACGAAATGACTACTATCCTTCGTGTGATGTGGAGATAGGGGAGCACTGTCTAAAGGGGGACTTTGTACCGTTAGCCATGCTTGAATTTGATGCCATACTTGGCATGGATTGGCTTGAAAAGCACCATGCAAAGGTAGATTGCTACACCAAAGTGTTAGAACTCAAGGATGGTGAGGGAAATACTCTATGTTTCGAGGGGGATAGAGAAAGATTCAATCCTTGCATCATATCGGCCATACGAGCAAGGCGTATGATGAGGAAGGGATGTCTAGCTTACTTAGCCTATGTCATAGGCAAGGAAGGCAAGGGGAAGAGCCTCACAGAAGTGAGGGTGGTGAACGAGTATCCGGAGGTGTTCCCTGAAGAGCTACCGGGACTCCCACCCGACCGGGAGATCGAGTTTGAGATTGAGGTTGAACCAGGCACCAAACCCATCTCAATTCCTCCGTATCGAATGGCACCGGCTGAACTTCAAGAGTTGAAAGTTCAATTGGAAGAGCTACTAGATAACGGATTCATTAGACCGAGTCATTCACCATGGGGAGCACCCGTACTCTTTGTAAAGAAGAAGGATGGTACTATGAGAATGTGTATCGACTACCGACAATTGAACAAGGTCACGATAAAGAACAAATATCCTTTGCCAAGGATTGACGACTTGTTTGATCAATTACGGGGGGCAACCGTATTCTCCAAGATCGACTTGAGGTCGGGCTACCATCAACTAAAGATCAAGGAAAGTGACATACCCAAAAGTGCATTCCGTACAAGGTATGGTCACTATGAGTTCCTAGTGATGTCGTTTGGGCTTACAAATGCCCCCGCGGCATTCATGGACCTCATGAACCGAGTATTTCATCAATACTTGGACCAATTTGTCATAGTGTTCATTGATGACATCTTGATATACTCCAAGAACGAAGAAGAACACGAGAAACATCTAAGGCTCGTACTTGAAACACTGCGGGAGAAACAACTCTTTGCCAAATTCTCTAAATGTGAATTTTGGCTTGAGGAGATCGGTTTTCTTGGGCATGTGGTATCGGGCTCGGGCATTTCAGTTGATAACTCGAAGATTGAAGCAGTCACTAATTGGGAGAGGCCCAAGAATGTGAAGGAAATAAGGAGTTTCCTCGGTTTGGCGGGGTACTACCGCAAATTCGTGGAGAAATTCTCAGTAATAGCATCTCCACTCACGAAGCTCACTAAAAAGGGAGCTAAGTTTGTGTGGGATGACAAGTGTGAGAAGGGGTTTCTTGAGCTAAAGAAACGATTGACTGAAGCACCAGTACTTGCCCTACCCGTGCAAGGGTTGGGGTATGACATCTATAGCGATGCTAGCATCCAGGGGCTTGGGTGCGTACTGATGCAATCGGGGAAGGTAATTGCTTATGCTTCTCGGCAACTGAGGAAGCATGAAGTGAATTACCCCACTCATGACCTTGAGCTAGGGGCTGTGGTGTTTGCTTTGAAGATTTGGAGGCATTACCTCTACGGTGAGGTGTGTCACATCTATACTGATCACAAGAGTTTGAAGTACGTGTTCACTCAGAAGGAGTTGAACATGAGGCAAAGAAGATGGATGGAGTTAATCAAGGATTACAACTTGATTATAGATTACCATCCAGGTAAGGCTAACGTGGTTGCTGATGCTCTCAGTAGGAAAAGTTCATCAGGGGTTTTACTCACATGCTTACAAGCATTGAGGGCACACGTGGAAGTATCCACGAATGGGGCTCTATTGGCCAGATTTGAGGTGAGACCCACCCTATTAGAAGAAATCAGAACGCGTCAAGGCAATGACGAGGAAATTCAGAAAATCCGAGAACGGATGCTGGTGGGACCCGTCGAGGGTTTCCGTGAGAGAGAAGATGGACTCCTACTATTCAAGGAGCGAGTGTGTGTGCCGTCAGATGAGGAGCTCCGAAAATCTATTCTTGAGGAGGCTCACTCATCTGCGTATGCCATGCACCCAGGTGGAACAAAGATGTACCAGGACTTGAAAGAAAGTTACTGGTGGTCGGGGATGAAGAGAGAGATTGCTGAATATGTGAGTCGTTGCCTTACCTGTCAGCAGGTTAAGGCAGAGCACCAGCACCCGGCAGGGTTATTACAGCCACTTACCATCCCAGAATGGAAGTGGGAGCATGTTACTATGGACTTCGTGGTAGGTTTGCCACGGACGGTTAGGAACTTTGATGCGGTATGGGTGGTGGTTGATAGGTTGACCAAGAGTGCCCATTTTCTACCTATCAACACTACTTATACGCTTGAGCGACTGGCCAAGTTGTATACTGATGAGATCGTGAGACTGCATGGGGTTCCGGTCACTATAGTGTCGGATAGAGACCCACGGTTCACATCACGGTTTTGGCCTAAATTCCAGGAATCCATGGGGACGAAGCTGAGGTTCAGCACGGCTTTCCATCCTCAAACGGATGGGCAATCTGAACGGGTGATTCAGATTTTGGAGGACATGTTGAGGGCATGCGCCTTAGAGTTCCAAGGAAGTTGGGACAACCAGTTGGCATTGGTGGAATTCGCCTATAACAACAGTTATCAAGCAAGTATAGGCATGCCTCCATACGAGGCATTGTATGGGAGGAAATGTCGGACACCTTTGTGTTGGGATGAGGTTGGCGAGGCCAAGCTTGAGGGTACTGAACTAGTTGAGATCACCAAGGAGAAGGTGAAAGTTATTCAGGATAGACTCAAGGCTGCCCAAGATCGGCAGAAGAGCTATGCAGATAAACGACGAAGAACGTTAGAGTTCGAGGTCGGCGATGAGGTATTTTTGAGGGTGTCACCTTGGAAAGGGATCATCAGGTTCCTCAGTCGGGGTAAGCTTAACCCACGCTACATAGGCCCATTCAAAATCATTGAAAGGATTGGGGTTGTAGCGTACCGGCTTCAGTTAACTCCAGAATTAGAAAAGATTCATAACGTATTTCATGTTTCTATGCTCAAGAAGTATGTACGGGACCCGTCACATATTCTTGAGAAACCACCGGTAGAAATCCGGGAAGACCTTCACTATGCGGTGCAGCCGGTAAAGATCACGGACCGACAGGTAAAGAAGCTAAGGAGTAAAGAGGTACCGATGGTGAAGGTACTTTGGAAGAGTGATCGTGTCGAGGAGCAAACTTGGGAAGTGGAGACCCTGATGAGGGAACAGTATCCATTTCTGTTTGACTAGACACGTGGATTTCGGGGACGAAATCCCAAATAAGGGGGGTAGAACTTGTAACACCGCCCCCAAGTATTTGTACTTTATCAATTCATGTACTGAACCTTGATAAATGAATAAACTCATCTTTACGCGATTGTAAATTTTTATCATTCTTTTACGTGGATAGTAAAATCCACGTGGGGCCCACACCAGAGGTGGGGGCCGCCCGATATTATTGGGACCGCATATTATATTCATCTGGGTCTAGATAATATGTATATGATGGTGGATGTCCAAGTTGGGCCATATAAACCATGCGTGTTGGCCAGTTGTGCATATAAAGCCCATTTATCGGTACCGAAGGAATATCAGATAAAAAGCCATAATAAATTATGGAGACCACCAAATTAAAGATGAGGAATATACATTCATTCTTATAGCCAATAATAATTGGAAGGATGAGATATATTTCATTTTACCCGATAAAATGAAATATAGTTAAAACAGTCCGGAAAATACAACTTTCGGGATCGAGTGTACACTCGGGGACACAAAGGGATGACCTCCCACATATGTGGGGGCCACCCCACGAAATCATTTGAGACAAATGAGAGAGGGGGTCGGCTGGTGTGATGGAAGGAGGATGGAAGGGGAGGTTGAGACAAGAGTTGACTCCAAGGGACCCCTCACCTCTTACCATCATAGGAAGAGCCAAAAACACCCCAATCACTCCCTATACCCATAGGCTCGACCAAGACACTCAAAGAGGAGAGAAAAGATCTGGAAATACTCCATTTTCATCCACCATACATGCACCAAGAGTAAGGGAGGAAGAAGGAAGGAAAAGAGAAGAGAAAAGAGGAGTTTAGGTGCGAAAACTTGTGATTAATAAGGTAATGACTTCATTAATCCCATTCCTTCTCTTTAATCACATTTCACACTCCTAGGATAGTTCTACACATGTAAAAGTGTAGAATGGGGGTTGAAGGGTTGGTTTATACCCAAAACGAACCTTGAGAGCCAAGTTGACGGGTTCACCGGAAAATAACCTTTTGGAGGTTGTTTGTATTGATATGGGTTTTATGATGATAAAACCTTGTTAATAACTTGTATAAGGTATTTCAAGAACTTTCACGGGGTTGAAAGGGTCGCCGGAGTTGTCGCCGGAGTTGGTTGAAGTTCACCGGAGTTTCACCGGAGCTCAATAAGGGAGGCTAGAACTTCATAAGCTTCTTTAAGGTGAGAAGACGGCTATATGCTTTATAACTTTTGATTGAGGCATGAGATTACCTAAAGTAATCAAGTATATGTCTTATGGAATGATTAAAGTAAATCAAGTATTGGCTTATGCCACGGTTATATATAAAACATAGTTGAAAAGCATGTTTTGTATGTTTGGTGATTAAAAATGTGATAACTTATTATGTACAATTCTCCAGGGATCCAAAATGGTATTTGTGGATCAAGGACGTCAAGGAGTACATGCGTATAAAATTTCGCGTTGATCGGACTCCGTTTGGGCGGTCAAACGGGCGTTGACCGCCGAGGCAAAGGTGATACCCGACCGGGTATGGGTACATACCCGACCGGGGTATTGATTAAAAATGGCTCCAGAAGCCACTGTCCTACTAGACCCGACCGGGTAAGGGTATGGACCCGACCGGGTCTCAAGTAAAATCAGTTCCAGGGGCTTCTGCCCCGACCTACCCGACCGGGTAAGGTTGGATACCCGACCGGGTATTGGACTATGCCCAAAACAGGCAGTTTTGAGCAGGTTAACGTGGGTCGTTCAAGTGGGACCCACCCACGTTGGTCACTAGGGATTATTACATGACTATAGGACTAGGTATTGTCCATAGTTAAGTGAATGAAAAGTTAGCCATATCCAGGTTAGGGTTTGGTTAGAATTAAGGTTGAGGTTGAGCATCCTCGGGACGGTAAATGATCCCAAAACTCGGTGAGGTTGAGTATCCTCAGGACGGTAAACAATCCTAAAACTCGGTGAGGTTGAGTATCCTCAGGACGGTAAACAATCCTAAAACTCGGTGAGGTTGAGTATCCTCAGGACGGTAAACAATCCTAAAACTCGGTTGAGGTTGAGTATCCTCGGGACGGTAAATGATCCCAAAACTCGGTTGGGGTTGAGTATCCCCGGGACGGTAAACCCTCCTGAAACTCGGTAGGATATTATGAAGGTAGAATGTAGCTCTCAAGCTAGGCATTCAGGAATGGAAAAGGGATAGGTTGGGAAAGTACCTTATCTCTAAAAGACTCTTTGTGATAAAACGACCTACGGGTCAAGTATTTTACAAGTATATACATTATGTATTATCTTGGGAATGGGGTAACAATGGTTACACCTATAAGCATATGTATCACCCTATTTTTGGGTCTCGTGTCTGAAACATTAGTTATTCCTCATATAGCCTGCTTGTCACTAGTACTTCTATGGAGTACTGACCCCTTCGGGGGCCCTCACATTTTTCAGGTTGAGGCTAGAGTCCTACTACCTGCACCTTCGCCAAGGGTGATTGATCAAAGAGGAAGACGTGGTTCGTGCTTCCATTCTTATTCAAAGTTTATAAACTGCTCATGGATGTTTTTAACAATGTTTTCCATTAAAACATTTGAGGGGCCTGCGTGTCCGTATTTGCCACGTGTGGCTAAGTATCAAACATATCTTATTTTCCGCATTCGTTGACTAATATATATTGATGTTGATTGTATGGGTTTACTAATCGGTTTGGCAATAGAACTCAACGGACGCCTTGTATGATTCAATAAGAATGAACTACGTTGTTCTTATTGGGTTGTACGGCGGTTGTCTACGTGGCACGGATGCGGTCCGGGGCGTGACACAAGATATACTTGGACTGGTGTTAGATCTAATGGAAGATTATGGAGAAGGCTTGACAGAGTTTTGTTTAACAGCTACCTTATTGATGCTTTTGATCATATCCAAATTACTCATCTAAACAGAACTCCATCAGACCATTCTCCTATCCTGATTCAATTTCAAAACAAAGGTTTTTCAGGGCCTAAGCCTTTTAAATTTCAGAATATGTGGATTGCACATCCTTCCTTTCTTAATGTGGTTACTCACAGTTGGAACTCTAATAGATTTTGTGGTGGAATGTTGGGTTTGGTCAACAAACTAAAATGTTTGAAGCAAGATCTTAAAAAATGGAATGCTGAAACCTTTGGTAATATCTTTGAGGATATTAAACTTTGTGAACAAGAGGTTTTGAATGCTGAAATTAGTTTTGAAAACAACCCTACTGAAGAGAATAGATCTGATTGGTCTTTTAAAAGGGCTCTTCTCATGGCCAAATACAAATTGGAGAGAAAATTTTGGAAGCAAAAGGCTCATCTTAATTGGCTTAAGGATGGGGACTCAAATACTAAATTCTTTCACTCTTATGTGAAAATCAGAAATAGAAAGCAACAGATAACTTCTATTAAAAACTCAGATGGAGTAACTGTAAAGACAATACCTGAGATAGGGGAGGCTGCAGTCCATTACTTCTCCACTCTCTATTCACAGGAGCAAGAAGGAGATTCTGAGCAAATCCTGGAATATATTCCATCATTAGTGGATGATTATGAAAATAGAGCACTTGTTGAGCTACCTAATACTGAAGAGGTCAAAGAAGCTGTTTGGGCTCTCAATCAAAATGGTGCTGCTGGTCCGGATGGTTTTAATGGAAATTTTTTTAAAAAATGTTGGCACATTGTGGGGAAGGATGTTGTTAATGCTGTTCAAGACTTCTTTATTGGGGTTCCTATTCCTAAAGGTCTTTCCAGTTCACTTCTGGTTCTTATACCTAAAAAAGACAATCCAGGTTCTTTTGCTGACTATAGACCCATCTGTCTATCTAATTTTGTACCAAAGTGCTTGCTAATAGATTAGATATTCTTCTGCCTAAATTAATTTCCAACGAACAAGCTGGATTTCTAAAAGGGAAGGATATGGCAGATCAGATTCTAATTGGCCAAGAAATGATTCATGCTATTGATAAGAAGATTAGGGGATCAAATTTGGTGATTAAATTAGACATGGCCAAAGCCTTTGATAGACTTTCATGGAATTTTCTAGCTAAAATACTTCAGAAGTTTGGATTTCATGAGCACTTTATTAATCTTGTCTTAAATAACTTGAAGGCTACATATCTTTCTGTGCTCATTAATGGCAGTCCTAGAGGTTTTTTTAAACCTATGAGAGGAGTCAAACAGGGAGACCCCCTCTCCCCTTTCCTTTTTATCCTAGCCTCAGAAGCTTTCTCAAGAGGACTAAACTGGCAGATTTCTAATGGTTTGATTGAACCTTATTGGTTGGGTAGATTTGGGAAACCAGTTACCCATTTAGCCTATGCAGATGACCTGCTTATTTTTTTGAATGGTGGATCTAGGTCTATCCTCAACTTCAGAAAATTTCTCACCCTTTACCAGAATGCCTCAGGCCAGGTAGTGAACTTTGACAAAAGCTCATTTGTGAATGGTAAGCATGCCAATACGAGAAGCCAGATAATCAAAGACCGTTTGGGTATGCAGAAAGGTTTCCTTCCACTGAAATATTTAGGTGCTCACCTGCATAAAGGAATTAATAGACATCATTTCTGTCACCATATCATTCAACAGTTTGATTCCAAGCTTTCTACTTGGAAACAAAAGAATCTCACTGAGGGAGGGAGACTTATCTTGATCAAGCATGTTCTTGGAACTATTCCTATGCATCTTTTAGCTGTTGAGAAACTGCCACAAAGAATTAAAAGAATTTTAAACAAGAAAATGGCTAACTTCTTTTGGGGCTCCTTAAAAGACAAGCCCAAACATCATTCGCTAAGATGGTCCAAAATGTGCTATCCTAAAGAGGAGGGGGGACTTGATATTCGCTCTCTAAATGATATTGAGAAGACATTCTCTTTAAAATTATGGTGGATCAGTTCTCCTTCAAATCTGCCTATAATTCTATAAGACACAGTCAGGGAGCAGCTTTCTCTTTTAAGCATATTTGGCATCCAAATCAACAACTAAAGGTGAAAATATTCCTTTGGAAACTATTTAAGGGTATTCTGCCTATTTCTGACAACCTCAGTAGGTTCCAAATAGTGATTCAGCCCTCTATTTGCCCACTTTGTAGGAGTAATAGTGATTCTACTAATCACGTCTTCTATGGTTGTTCTTATTCTAGGGCTATCTGGAATTACTTCAATCAGGCTTTGAGTATACCTGTCTCTAACACTATTCAATCTATGAGACATATTTTTTTCATGTGGTGGTTCGAAGCAGGTTACAAATCTCTGATTGATGTTTTTTAGACATAATCTCCCAGGAATCATAGTTTGGCACATTTGGAAGATTTACTCTGGTTTAATTTGGGGGACTCAGATGGTTGTACCATCCATTGCAATGACAATATGTAAAATTAAACATTATACGCAGTCCTGGGTGTTAAGTCTAAATCAGATGAAGTTTAGAGCTATTGACAATGTTCTTTTCGAAGAAAACTTCATTCCTCCCAATTTTCGACTAACACAGAAGATTCTTAAGCCTGTTCATTGGGTTAAGCCTAAGCGAGGATATAAACTCAATGTAGATGCTGCTTTCATACCTGGCAGAGCATCAGGTGGAGCTGTACTGAGAAACGAGCAAGGCCGGATGATTGCAGCTGTTTCATTTTCGATTGACGCCTTCTCCAGCTTCGAAGCGGAACTTCTGGCAGTGATAAAAGCTACGCGATGGGCGATACTTGAAGGCTATAATCATTTTCAAGTCGAAAGCGATGCTGAGGAGATCCTTGATTACGTTTCAGGTAAGAAATTTGGCCGATGGAAAGAAGAAATTGATGCGTTCAGGCAGAATTATTTTAGGAAAGAGATTTGTTTCAAGCATGTTCTGAGAGAGGGGAATGAACCCGCTCATTTGCTAGCAGATGTATCTCCGGCCCAATTCACGTTTTGGACTGATTTGGATTCTTTACCGGGCCCGATTAAAATTGCACTTACTCTAGATTACTTTAATTATCCTTCTTTTAGAAGGTTTGTATAATTTTTGCATTCTTGGGTTTCTTTTGCAAGAGGTATTGGTATAGTCCCCCTCTTGTGTAATCGTTTCTTTTCCTTTTTCAATAAAACCCGGCAAATGTTCCCCGGCATTTGCCCCACTGATTTTGGTGGTTTGCCGACCGGGACCTAATAAGAAATTCGTTTGCGGATACTACACCAATGATATGCTAGGAGAGAAGTTAAAATATTGCATGCTTTAATTCTTTAAAGAGCCATGGAAACCAAGCACATTTCAATGATGAACATGATCTTTTGGAGTGAGTTTAAACTGATTCTTAAAACTATACTCCGTAAAATTTATGATATTAAGAAATTCAGCCTTTCTATGTGTATATATATATTCTTTCCAGATGCAATAAAGCTTCCTCACAACCTCTTTAGACAATGTCAATAAGATACTTTACAATTAAAGTAGATTTTTATTGAACCTAAATTAATGCAGGGAACCTCAATGGTGTTCTCTTAGAGTTTTTTTAAGATTGGGACAAATTTATATGGTATTTTTAATATCTTAAATCAAAGGTCCCATCCCCAATTTTTCACTTTAAAATTTGCAATTTTCTCTATATTGGTTTGTGTTAGTACCCAATTTTGATAGATTTTGATGATGCCACTATACTCTATCTTAGTACATTGTGTCTTAATTAAGTTCGAAATTTAGTGACAAAATAAATGTACAATTTTTGAGACTAATGAAATATTACCGGAAAAATAAAAATACAATAAGGTAATTTTTATTTACCTTAATAGGATATTTAGATCCTACCGGTATATATATCATATGGCTCAAAGATTAAATGTCACATTTTTATGCTACTCGAAAAACCATATACATTGAATGTATATGATTGGAAGACAGAGCTTGACCAACATTAAATGGTGAATCAAGTACTGGTCCTATAGCATGGGACGCATACTTGACAGAACTCCCAGCGGGCACTTATTGGAGACAGCCGCATTAAAGACTCCAGCACAAGAAGACAATTGTACTACTTATCTTTGGCAGAGATCTTCAACGACAAGGATTAATCCATCTCAACCAACGGATGAGATTAATCAACCATGAAGGCCTATAAATATAGGTAGAAGCATGAGTTCAAAAACAAGCTTGAGCATCCTAAGTAGAGAAATACTTCCATTAAAGCATATCCAAGCTATCTAGCAAAAGAGAAAGTGCAAACTCAACTTTACTCTCTGCTTAGACTCATGCTTCACTAAGCTCTTAGATTAGTTCAACACTTTCATATTTTAGAGCTTAGTTCTTAGTTGGAGATTAGAACTTTCTTGTATCAAACTGTTGTAAACACTTAGGAGAACAGTTGTTCTGATCCTAAAGTGTGGTTAGATAGATAGAGTACCTTTTGATCCCCACTGGATCAATAGAGAAAAGTCTAAGGACTGAGTAACTTTGAGTGGTGTTATACTCATTGTGAAAAACCTTCAATCTAGGCCTAAGTATTGTAAAGGCTAGATTGGCACTAAGTGTATTGGGCTAAATACTTTAGTGAAATCCATCTGAAATAGGGTGGGACTGGACGTAGGAGGATTACACCACCTCTGAACCAGGATACATCGTGTGTTGATTTTACTTCATTCAACAAAGCACACACCCAGCACTTCTCGTATAAAGATTGTAGTTTGCCAGCAGCATCTTAAGCAGTTGTCTTAATTGACCCAACTGCTTATCCTTCTGCTTAATTACTCACTCTCTTTGAGACTATCTTCACACAGTCCACTTGCCAAAGCATTACCAAAAAGGTTGTTCTATCAGTTCCCAGAAATTCACTTTCTAATCATAGCAGGTGCCTCAGCAGTCTCCTCAGTACCATCCAACTGCTGAGCTCTCTGCTCACATACATATATTTCCTTTAAACTACTTCACCAGATCCTCATAACATCATCAACACGAAGTTTCGCTTAAACGGATCTCTGAAAATCTGCTTATAACCTAAGCAGGAGGCTCAGCAGTTCCCTCAGTACCACCCAACTGCCGAGACCACTGCTCCAGTTAGACTTCACCTTAATCTTACTAAAGCACTTTTTCAGACATATTTCTTCATTCTAAACAACGTTTCACCAGCACTTTCATCATAGAGTCAATATTTCTCTAGCAGTTACCTCAGCAGTTCCCTGCTATCTAGCCAACTGCCAAGCCAACTGCTAGCTATCTAAGTCCAATCTTCCCCAAATTAGAAAGTGGTCAAACACTTATTACATAAAGGGTAAAGACTTCCGTTGTGCATCTATTAATCTCTCAAAAGATTATAGATCAACTTTTCTAGAGGGAAAACTTTGTAAAATTGAAAAAGATTTAAAAGTCTATTCACCCCCCCCCCTCTAGACTTTTACCCTATCCGGGACCATCAAGTGGTATCAGAGCAGGTGTTCCTAGAGTCAGTTTCTGACTAATTTGAACTAAAGATCCAAACTACTCTACTTCCCAAACACCTTCAAAAATGGACAGTCAGCTAGCCAAGAACCTTCTGTTCAATTTGAACAAATTTGATGACTGGAAAATAAGGATGAAAGCACATCTCAGTGCTTTACATGATGAGATGCTTGAAGTAATTACTGATGGACCTGTCAAAATAATGAAGGTCATCACATCCAGAACCACAGAAGGGACAGATGATGTGTACATTCCAAAACCCAAAATGGAATGGACAACTGAGGACAGGAAGAGAAACAATCTTGACAACATTGCCAAAGACATTCTTTTCAAATCTGTTGATGAATCTATATTTCCCAGAATTAGGAAATGCGAAACTGCCAAAGATGTCTGGGATGAGCTCACAAAGATTGGAGCTGGAGATGAACAAGAGAAGGACAATAAATTGACCATAGCCCTCAAGAAATTTGAGGATTTCAAAATGCTGTCACCTGAATCTATCCATGAGATGGAATCCAGATTCCTGAAGATTGTGGCAGAGGTCTCTGACCTTGGGAAAGAACTATATCAAAAGGAGATTTCCCTCAAGGTCTTGAGAGGTCTGCCCTCAAAATGGGACATGAAGGTAACTGCTATGAGAGATAGCAGAGATCTCAGAACTTTGTCAACGGACAAACTCTTCAGTGATCTCAAGGCCTATGATTTTGAAATGAAGGAGATCAAAGAAGAGAAGGAAGATGAATCCAAGACACTAGCTCTAGTGTCTGAGCCAAGCACTTCAAAATATGCTGAAAAATCCCTAAATAATCTCCTCACTGACGAGCAGTTTGCTATGTTTGTGAGGAAATTCAAAAGATTCATGAAGAAGGAGGGAACTGCTCCAAAGAAAGCATACAACCTGCCACCTAGAAAACTAGGGATACCTCAATCTAGTGAGGAAACTGTTCTTTGCTACAATTGTAGACAACCAGGACATTACAAAAATGAATGCCCTCTGCCCTTAGCCCAGAAGTATCAAGAGCAGCAGGGGACTGGTCCCAAAGCTAGTTACAAGAGGGACTTCAAAAGCAAAAGGCAAGCCTTTGTAAGTGAAAAGAAAAAGGAGGAACCCCAATCTGAAGATGAAAGCAGCTCAAGTGATGAAAGCTCTTCATCTGAAAGCTCAGAAGAAGCCCTTCTATGCCTGGGATCCTGGCAGGTGGCTGAAAAAGGCGACAGCTGGCTCACTGGAGAAAGCAGCAGATGGCTCAGTGAAGATGATGAATGCAGCTCCCCCAAATGCCTAATGGCCAAAGACCACTACAATGATGTTGAGGTAACATCCTGCTCTTCTTATAGCTCTAGTGATTCTGGACCAACCAATATTACTCTGAAATCTTTATTACAAGATTTCCAAAAAGTCCAAAATCACCATGTTCTCTTAAGATCAGAAAATGATAGATTAAAACAAGACATTAAGGCTATTCATACTAAATTGTTAGATGCCTTAACCAAAAACAATGTCTTAGAAAAGGAGAACAAAGAGCTGAAAGACAAAATGAATAACTTCAGCATGGATAGTAAAACCGGTGACTCTACTGCTGAAGTTGTTCTAAATAGGAAGAGAAGAGGGCTCGGATATGTATCCCCCACCAGACTCACTCAAAACTCACCCTCCACAAGCCACCAACAAAATACAAGAAAGCTAATCTACCAAAAATCCCATTCTCAAAATGTTCCCATAAGAAGGAACCTGCCTGCTCCCAAATCAAAATCCAATCTCATGTATAAACAAAAACTTCCCAACCATCAAAACCCAAGAACCCGTTGGCAATCAACCAATAAGACCAACCACAGTCAAAACACTAAGCAGTCTCCTTCAAAAGCCAATAATCCATTTTCCACTTCAAAAAGAAAAAGGATTAACAAATACATAGCCATCCCCCATGATTATAATACTTCAAATGGCTATAGACCAATCTGCTTAGAACTAAATGGTTCTAGATGGGCATGGATGCCCAAACTTGTACAAAGAAAGTCGCCCACTAACTTGTGGCCTACTGCTCAACAATGATGAATACAGGAAGGTGCTGGAGCAGTCGACTCACAAACATGGTACATAGATTCAGGCTGCTCCAGGCACATGACAGGCAGCAGGCGGCTCCTGTCAAACTATATGGCAAGAGAAGGACCCAAAGTTACTTTTGGGAATGTGGAAAAACAAGGAGAAACCAAAGGAGCTGGAGACCTATCCATCAATGGACTTACAATCCAAAACATATCTTATGTTAAAGGATTAAAGTTCAATCTCATAAGCACAAGCCAGCTCTGTGACAATGGCTATAATGTTACATTCTCCAAAGACATCTGCTTGATAAGAGATGTCAAAAATGACAAAATTGTGCTCACTGGTAGAAGGAAGAAGGACATGTACATTGTTGATTGGAGCTCAGCAAAGGAAGGGATATGCTTGGTGACAAAAGCAGATTCAAATTTGAGTTGGGAATGGCACAACAAATTAAGCCATCTCAACTTCAAAACAACCAACAAACTGTCCAGAAAAGGATTGGTGAAAGGACTTTCTGAAATCAATTTCAAGAAGGACCATCTCTGTGATGCTTGCCAAAAAGGAAAACAAACCAAGTTATCATTCAAATCAAAGGAACTGGAATCATCAACCAGGCCCTTAAGCCTATTACACCTTGACTTGTTTGGACCAGTTGAACCAACAAGCTTAAGTGGTAGAAGATACACCGTGGTGATAGTTGATGATTATTCTAGATACACTTGGACCGTATATTAAAGAAAAAGAATGAAACAGAGAAGAAACTTCCAGAACTGATGAAACTAATTCAAAATGAGAAAAGTCTCTCAATCCAGAAGATCCGGTCAGATAGAGGTACTGAATTCCTTAACTCTATAGTAATTCAGTACTGTAAAGAAAATGGAATCCATCACCAAACTTCAGCAGCAAGAACACCTCAACAAAATGGTGTTGCTGAGAGAAGGAATAGGACACTCAAGGAAGCCGGAAGGACAATCTTAGAAGCAGCTGGTTTACCCAAAAGATTTTGGGCAGAAGCAATCAACACTGCTTGCTACACCCAGAATAGAAGTCTCATTCATAAGACTTACAAAAAGACCCCATATGAATTATGGAAAGAAAGGAAGCCTAATGTTAGTCATTTCCATGTGTTTGGATCCAAATGCTTCATTCTAAACAATGGAAAATGTGACACTCCGAAAATTTAAATAAAATAAAATAAAATAATAATATTAATGAGATCAAATAAAACTTTGACATATAAGAAGAGTGACATTTTGAAAGATTATTAGTGAAATAATATATACATATGCTTATAGCACACCTATATAAGACCCACCTAATATATATGATACGAAGTATACATACACTACTTACATATATACATAACGATATACTACGTAATAATAATAGTGTAAAATTTTGACTTTCCCATGGGACCAATACTCATGTAAACCCATGCGTAATTAATTAGGTATAGGAATGTTGGGCCGATCTTCACATTGTACGAGCGATATGAAACACACGAAACCCTAAAGCCTGGAACCTTCCCGTGTGCGTATATATATGTACCTCGTTGCGATCGAAAATCCGCTTAGACCATATACGTACGATGATACGAAACCGAACATTTAAAGCATACGTCGTACAAGACCAAGATGCTGCTGCTAAATGATCGCATCTGCGTCGCAAGAGAACGGCAGAGAAAGGAAGAGGACAGCGGGAAACTTTCCGGAGAAGAAGACCCTGCCGGAGTCGTTGCCGGACTGGTTTCACGCCGGAGGAGAAGAAGATGATGTTGCCGCGATCGGACTTGACTGCTTCCACTGAACGTCGATGCCTATCACAAACCTATTTCCGTCCCCAGTCCCCTGCCGTCAGAATAGAAACTCTTTCGCCGGTAGGAAGAGAAAGAGAACGCCGGAGTACTGAAACTGCGATGCCGAAGTTGGGAACGGAACTGAGTTCACCGGACCTCGCTGCTGCCGTTGACTACTGCCACGCCGGGAAAAGAAAAGCTTCGTTGACGGACTGCTACTTGTCGAGAAAGGGAAGGAAGCAGCATCGTTGCCGTTGGTCGTCTTCGGGCTGCTACAGTACTCGTACGTAACTCCTACTCCGTATTATATTTATCATTTTGCACTGAAGGTTTTAGCTTGGCCATTGAGATGTTTGGCCGGACTGTCTTAGTTATTATCATTTATCATCGTTGTCTTAGTTAAACGAATGGACTAAATTCTAAAATTTATCAAACTTAATATACCATTATTATGAATGATTATATAGATGGACTAATTATTGGAGTATATAAATAAAAGTGATTAATCGGGAAAGAGATAAATTAATACCATGAATTTGATATTAATTAACAAGGAATAATTGTTAATTAATTCCATAATTTTAATATTTAGAAGGTGAATTTGGAAAAGATCGAGATAGATGATCGGCTAGGAATTATCGCGATTGAGGTAAGTTCTACGTCAACCAACATTACACTTTTCCTCGTAAATCTATATATGATTATTTATTTGAAATTAATTGAGTACTTTGTGAGATTTCTAGCATTTACATTTATACTTCGTATTTGAGTATTTAGAATTATTTATGGATTGTTATTGAGGATTATATTTGAGATTTGAGTATTGAATATTGTGTGATATTTTTGAGTAATTGAAGTTATGTATTAATCATTATTGGGATTGAGATTTGAGCTATTTATGGAGTATTCTATATTTTAATCATGTTGGGAATTTTCGAGTTTAAAGGATCGATTAACACTTATTTTGGAAATTTATGTCTATGTATAATATGTGATGCATTGTTGAATGTTGAATAACTTTGGGGAAATTACGTGAGTAGTAATCCCTGAATTTTTGGAAAATAATAAAGATAAAATGAACCTTTCAATGTAAGGGCATCACGGGAGAAATCCGGGATGTCGGTGTCCTCCACGACCTTGACTGTGGAGAGTGATTAGGACTGCTATTACTTGTTGGGATTTGGTGTCCACGACCTTGACTGTGGAGATTGGTGGTTGTTTATTGTATTTAAAATTCGGGCAAAAGACCCTATTATTCAGTAGTAGCAGTAACCTAGTCACTTATATAGGGTAATCCCTTTTTGGTGGAGTAGGGGGACGTTGACGTCCGAACTACTTGGACTTCTTACTACTCGGAGGGCTTGGAATCCCTTTTAGAGGGTGTGCACACTTAAGGTAGAGGTTCAGTTTCCTCAGGTTAGAAGTGGTACCGGCAAAAGTCCCGGGGTGGCCGTACATAACAACGGACCATCGGGCTCAATAAAATGTTGAGCACCGCCCTTCAAATGTATTAGGAGTACAAATATATTTGGATTGATGTTTTGAGGTTTTGAGGAGAATTATATTTGAATGGAATGGATTTGAGTTGTTGGATTGAATTATCAAATTATTGTGGAATTTCAAGTACATACTTTTGGATTTATTTTGGTTTGATTATGTTAATATTGATTATGAGTGTTTGGAATCATTTTGAGAATGATTTTGGTACTTTATGTACATTTGGTATGTTGTAATTATTGTGGCTTGGAAATATTTAATTATATTTGAAGTACTATTATTTTACTCGTGATTGTGTTATGAGAAGATTTTACAAATTGTTTTAAAAAGATTTTTCCTGCCAAATGTTTTTTTTCAAAAATATTAAATTTATATTTTTTTATGGGGTTAGGTGGAACTTACTTAGCATTGTTGCTAATTTTTGTTTTCTTTTATTTTTCTTTCTGTACATGATTTTGTACAGGTAAATGCTTTGCTGATGATGTTGATTTCGAGAGAGCTTCCGCTAGAGAAAATGTAATTAGTAGATAACATTGTAGTTTAATTGAATTTTCAAGACACTTATTGTGTTTAATTGTCTGTGGTGATTAGCCTGTGCACTCGGTTAGATTAGAGCCGAGTGTGGCGGTAACACCCAATTTCCCTTTTGGTTTTCCGCTGCATAACTCTGATGTTTTCAAATAAAGTTGATATTTTTTTTGAATAAAATATTATTTTTGGGTGGGAAATTTGGGGGTGTTACAGAAAAGACTATCTCAAGCCATTTGATCCCAAATATGATGAAGGGATCTTCCTGGGCTACTCAGCAACAAGCAAGGCATTCCGGATCCTCAACAAAAGAACTCTGGTGGTAGAAGAATCAATCCATGTGGTTTTTGAAAATCACCCCACTGCTCAATCAAAAGAAGAAGGTGAGTCATCTAACTCAAAAAGGGACACTGGAAAGGCTCCCAGCTGTCTTCCAGGAAATGATAGAGAAAAAATAGCTGAATCTAATGTCAGTCCACGGCCAGCAGTTGACTCAACTGTCAGCCCACTGCCAGCAGGTGACTCACCAACAAACATCCTTCCAGACCTTCATGAAATTCCTAATCACCCTACTCTACCAGAAGATAGTGACGAAGAAGAAGATGAGGATGACCAACAACGTCAAAGCAAAACAACCTCATCTGACATTAGATGGTTGAACAAACATCCTCCACACCAAATCATTGGAAACATCCATGAAGGGGTTCGTACAAGGTCAGCAATCCAAAAAGAAGCACTATTCTCATGCTTCATCTCACAAATTGAACCCAAGAAAATTGAAGAAGCCCTACTTGACTCTGACTGGATACAAGCAATGCAAGAGGAACTAAATCAGTTTGAGAGAAACAATGTGTGGGAGCTTGTGCCCAGACCCTATCACCAACATGTGATAGGAACCAAATGGGTGTTCAGAAACAAGATGGATGAGGAAGGCGCAATTGTCAAGAACAAGGCAAGACTAGTAGCCTAAGGCTACTGACGTGCACTTTGTCGTGAGTGCACTCAAAATAAATTCAACACTAACACTTATACGTAGTATATGTGAAGTAGAGTTCGTATCCACAGGGAAAGGAATAATTTATCTTTTTAACGAAAGGAGTAAATAAAGGGGGGTTTTGGGTTGAATGATTTAATTAAATTAAACACGAATATGAACGAGTTATATGTGATTTAATTCAAAGATAAAAAGGACTTGACATTGCTACTTTCCACTTGTTGATATATTTCAGTCGATCGTTGTTATATCTATAACTTATCTCCTCTCGAATACTCAATTGAGGAGTATATCCAATTCATCGAGGAAAGTTATTAACAACGACCGTTCATTAATAACCCTTACTATTAGTCAAGTATAGAACAACGCCATATACCTACTTGATAGTAGCATTTAATCTCTTAACTCCTTGATGAAATCAATTGAGATTGATAACCTCAACACAACGGTTTCGGTTTAACCAACAAAATTAATCCCTCTTAAGTTTACTAACCACGACCGTGCATTAATAAACCGAAGTTACTTACTTGTGAAACCATCAACGATTAACCATCGGTTCGTTGATCGTTTCTAGTAATAATTAATATTTGAAACAAAACTAGTTGATCCTTTAAGTAATGTTCAAAAATATTAATATGAAATATGAATAGGAATTAATTAATACTCAAGGAAGAATATTAAGGAAAATGAATCCTACTATAGTTAATATCAAGATGTTAACTAATTGTCATCTTAGTAACACTCCCCAATATTAACATAGAGGAAGGAATAGCTATTACTAAGACCAATGTCAAGATGTTAACTAATTGTCATCTTAGCAACACTCCCCAACATTGATATAGAAATAGTATTTAAGAGAAGTATTAATATTCAAGGAAAGAAGTTAAGAAAATAACTCACAACTTTAATAATCAACAAGCTTCAAGAGCAACACCAAGAAATGGAAGTTTAGCTCCTCATTTGGAGACTAAACATGCTATAAAAATATAAAAGAAATACTATTCTAAACTGAGCTTAAGAGTATGGAAGAATTGATCTCCTTTTTGTGAAGGAAAGGGGGTGTATTTATAGGCTTTTTGGGAGTGCAGCTCGGGTACTCGATCGAGTATATACAGATACTCGATCGAGTATGTGTAGAAATACCAGATTCGAGGTATACTCGATCGATTTTGGCTTAAAAATCAAAGGCATACTCGATCGAGTATATGTTCATACTCGGTCGAGTATGTGTAGAAAGTGATATTCGAGCCATACTCGACCGATTTCGGGTTTAAACTCAAAGGCATACTCGATCGGGTATGTCGGTCTACCCGATCGAGTATAGACACTGAATCGTGGCCAAAATCTTCCCGGCATGTTCCTTTGTCTTCGGATCCGATCCGATTTGAAGTTTCAACCTTATACCCGATCGAGTATAGGTAATACTCGACCGAGTATAGACCAAAATCAGGATTTTCCCTTTTGTCTTGTGATTTTGCACCTTCCTTCCACTTTTGGGGTTCACCAACTGTCCTTTGAGTGATGGTAGACCTGTTTGAGCTCAGAATGACCCTAATCTAAACAAATTACAAGAATTCAACAAACTAAACTATTACACCAAAAGTGTGTAATTTCCGAAATACTAAACAACCAAAACTAGCTAAAAACGTAAACATACACACGGAAATTACAAGTGTATCAGCTACTGCCAGGAAGAAGGTATAGATTTTGATGAAACCTTTGCTCCTGTTGCTAGACTAGAGGCTATAAGAATATTCTTAGCCTATGCTGCCCATAAGCAATTCACTGTCTATCAAATGGACGTGAAAAGTGCATTCCTAAACGGTCTACTAGAAGAGGAGGTCTATGTGGAACAGCCTCCTGGATTTGAAATCAATAGAGAGAAGGATCAAGTCTACAAGCTGCATAAAGCTCTTTATGGACTCAAACAAGCCCCAAGAGCATGATATGACACTCTCTCTGAATATTTAGTGAGTAACGGGTTCACTAAAGGAAAAGTAGACAAGACACTATTCAAAATTGAAGAAGGTCCATACTTGCTGCTTGTCCAAATTTATGTTGATGACATAATCTTTGTAAGTTCAAACCAAGCACTATGCAAGAAATTTTCAACTCTCATGCAAAACAAGTTTGAGATGAGCATGATGGGAGAATTGAACTATTTCTTGGGACTACAAGTAAAGCAGACTCCTCAAGGTATCTTCATCAACCAAGCAAAATATACAAGAGATCTCATGAAAAAGTTCAAAGTTGAAAACAAGTCCACTGTGAAAATACCCATGAATACATCCCAAAGTCTAAGTCAGGATGAAGATGGCAAAGATGTTGATCCCACACTTTACAGAGGTCTGATTGGTTCCTTGTTATATCTCACCACTAGTCGGCCAGATATTTCCTACTCAGTTGGTGTGTGTGCAAGGTTTCAATCTAAGCCTAAGGAAAGCCATCTTCTAGCTGCCAAGAAGATTCTAAGGTATCTAAAAGGCAATCCTAACTCTGGATTATGGTACCCAATATATGGAGGTTTTGAACTCTATGGTTATTCAGACTCTGACTTTGCCGGATGCAAAATTGATAGAAAAAGCACCTCTGGAACTTGTCAATTAATTGGTGGAAGACTTGTCTCTTGGTTCAGCAAGAAACAAAACTCAATTGTTACTAGCACTGCTGAAGCTGAATACATAGCTGCAGGCAGCTGCTGTGCTCAAATACTATGGAGGAAACAACAATTGAAGGATTATGGAGAAGAAACAAAAGAGATTAGCATACTGTGTGATAACACTAGTGCTATTGCTATCACTCATAATCCTGTCTTTCATTCAAGAACCAAACACATTGAGATCAGACATCACTTTATCAGAGAGCATGTTGAGAAGAAAACCATCAAGCTTGAGTATATCCCCACGGACAAACAGTTGGCTGACATCTTCACCAAGCCATTAAATGAAGCTAGATTCAACCAACTAAGGCAAGAGCTTGGTATGCTAGATGATCTAGATCAAGCGAAGGAATAACCCTGCATCTATTCAAGGGGAATCAAATTCCATAATCAAGGGAGAATTCCTAGCCACCTGTTGAGGGGGAACTATCAGAGGTAGCCATCTCAGGCTACTCACAATCCAAAAGGAATGAAGCATCAAGGTCCAAGAAAGTCTATCTCAGACTTTCAAAAGAAAGAAGAAATCAAAATTCAAGGAGTAGGCTCAGCAGGTGACTACTCAAGACAGCAGTAGGGTCAGCAGGCAACTGACCAACTAGACCACTGCTACATGTGTAATAAGAGGACTTGAATTAATACTTTCATAAAGAAGAGTACAAGCTTGGAACAAGGAAGGAACAATGGAGGTAAAGACACTGGTTCACAAATTCGAACAGATATCTGCAAGCAGGTGTCTGCCTCAGAAGCAGGCCACTGTCAGAGATCAGCAGTTGGCTCAAATTACTGCAAATGTACATGGAATCTCAGCACGTGGCACATATCTTCTTGATCCTCACATATCAAGGATTCTAAAAAGGTAACTTTTGCTCTCATAAACCCTCAAAAATTTACCAAGCTAGAGCACTCTGTTACCAGTGTGAACACAATTAAACCAGCCGTAGTCTCCAACGGCTATATCCTAACGGCTAGTTTCCGATAAAGAATAAATACCTCCTCCGTACAATTCCTTTACACTTTTACCTTGCAATCTCTCTCAAACCTCACTCTAAACCTCGAACGCTCTCAAAGCCCTCAAACAACAAACTCTTGTACTCACCATCTCATCCGCACTCCATATTTCACCCATACTCCTTCTACTCCTCAAACAAACAAGAATGGCATCTCTTAAACTCATGGCTAAGAAGATCTACACGGGATCCATTCTTGACACATCCATAATACTGAAGAAAGCTAACAACAGTGATCTTATGAAAGATCTTCTGAGAAAGCTTGACAGCACAGGTCTCCTAAAGATGGCTACCTACCCATATCCATGCTTCTATCCCGAGGTAGCTGCAGAGTTCTACCTCAACTCTACCAAAGACACTCTCAAATCCTGGATAAGGGGCAGACCTGTGGAGATTGAAGAAGGAGATATCAGAACACTGCTCTCACTCCCTGGAGATGAAGCTCCACCAGTTGAAGACTTTGAACTCA